AAGGGAAAACCATCCTTGGGTTGATGTCAAAGAAGTAGGACTCTTTGGGCCTTTTTTTCTTTTTTTTTTTTGCTCATGGGTCAGAATATGAGAGTTTCCCTGTAATCCAGACTGCATTCTTAAGAAGTAGCACTTGCTGTGGTTTTTTTGTCTGTAGAATAAAAAAAAAAAGGCTGTTCAGTCTTTCTTCAGTGCAAAGACCTGATACTGAATGAATCTACTTGCTTTTGAGACTGCTGAGAAGCTGAGACTACATTGTCCGAGGCTTAAGAAAGCCTTGCTTGCATTCAATAGACTTTGATGTAAAATGTTCAAGAAAAGGGTTGTTTAAATAGGAGTCACATCTGTGATGATTTAAGAATATAAGCAAAGTGGGCCTTTGATGAGTTGGTAACATCTTATTAGACTAGCATCCTAGTCTTAGGCTTTTCATCCTACCCAAAGGGTTTTTGGCCTGAAAGCTTTTCTCTCTATTTTCGTCTCCATCAGGCAGTCAAATGGAGAGGTAACCTTCCTGTGGGCCTTGTCTCTAATAGTAAGAAATATTATCTCTCCCCACATTCTCTGATGTGGAATTGCTATAAATTGTAACTTGATTTTCTTCTCAGAATTTTTCTCACCGTCTGAGTCCAGGTGTCTTGGAGATATTTAAATAATAACACATTTCTCCATACTCAGGTTGCCTACTGATAATGTCCCCCAGTGTTAAAGTGAACTGTCCTTCTGCAACCAATACAATAAAACCCAGATATTTTTATTATTTTTTTCACATCATGACCAAAGTCCTCATAGAAGAGGCAGTGTGGTTTGTCAGTTGGAGTATGGATCACAGGTCAGGAAATCAGTCTGTTTCTCATCTGCCCCTCAGAGATTTTGCCACTTAGGTAGGGTAAGAGTTTTTCAGGCTGTGCTGATCTATGTCCAAGAAGAAGATGCACAGCTACAGGTAAGATAAGGCTTACCCCCCCTCACACATCCTGCTGAGAGAGTTGCACCTTCTCTGGTTCAGTGCCATGCTAGCAGAGTACAGGGCTGGCTCTGGGCTCAGAGCAGAAATATGTTTGCCTCTGCCTGCACAAGAGCACACAAAGAGGTGTCTGTGCTTCCAGATCTCACTATCTGCATGGTCATTTTCCATTTCAGGGAGATTGGAACAGAAATTTTTGCATCCAGAACCTTATAACAGTTCTAGCAGTTAAACTATGACTTCTTTAGGGTGATCCTATGGAAATTATTGATAAATATGACACATTACTGAGTACTAAAAAAAACCCAACTGTTGTCAGGGTTGTAGGGTACAGGTAGTCCAGGGAGTTCATTAGCATTCTCCACCAGATGAATCTGGAAATGTAGTGGTACAAGCTAAATGATGAAAAGATGTTCAGGTGCCTTTCTCAGGAAAATGACTTCTCTTCCCTGGTGGGTTGTTGTGATTGCTTGGAAACTGCATAATCTGAGATCGTGATGCCTGTCTCTTCTCCTGAATGATTAGAGAAACCTTTTCTGTCAGAAAATATTTAGAATGTAGTTTGTCTTTCATTGCTTTCAGTTCCCAAAGCAATTACGTCAAAAAGACTTCGGACTGGACCAGTGTGATTTTCTTTTAAATGGATGAAGTTTTATCACTAGAAACCTACCACTGATGCATATTCTGGATGTGTGGGTGCCTATTCTACCAGAATCACTATTTCTCTGGCAATTTTGAAAACAATCTGTGCATGAAGAGGATGACACTACTGTGCCTAAGTCAGTACGGATAACATTGTTATGTTATGAATTCTAGTTTTGGCAAGACATAATACATAGATATGAGTTTAGTTTAGAGGGCACTGTGGCTTCTCATTGCTCTCTGATCTTTGTTCTGATTTCTCTACCTGACCAAGGGCTGTTACTGCTCTGGGGCATCAATTCTAGATTGCCTTCAGCCCTTGTATACAGAGATAATGTCCATAAAGTGAGACTTAAAAAAAGAATAATGAATAAAGTTATAGTGGTGGCTGGATTGGTGTCTGTAATTATGTCATCTAAATTTATTTGGCAAATCATCTCCAAGGCATACATGATCACATGGTACAGTGCATTTCCCCTAAATGTAAAGTAGAACACTAATTTCTGAGCTAAATCATTTTATCTAGCAAAAGCATAAATATACAGCTAAAAGTCGAATGAAAACAATTCTAAGTCTTCCTTTTTAGTTCCTTCTTACATCCTAATGGGAGAAAGCAAGACATGGGAAAGCACCAGCAGAGAACAGAAAGAGGTTAGCTGGAAAGTGTGTCAAGCTACTTAGAGAGATTTAAAAAAAAAAAAATACAAATTACTTTAAAAGAGTTGAGAATGCAAGGGAAAAGAGAGAGATAATCCAGAGTATGGAGGGGAGATGACTGATGAGTCTGGTCTTCTCTAGAACTGACCCATAGAAGTTTACTGGCATTGGACTTAGCTTCACAAAAACTTATTCCACAAAAAAATCTATCTTCTTGCAAGGCATCCATGCTTGCAATTCATGCTCTGTAATTCACAGGGAATAAAGTTCACTTCTTTAATAAAACAAATTAGTAGGGGGGTTCTGGGAATCACTGACTGATATTGACAATGGGACTGGAGAGCCTGAATGGCTTTGTGGGAGATGGGGGGAAGAGGGCTTGCCCTGCTCAGCTGTGCAGGGCTGGATTGTAGGCTTTAGGAATACAGCACCAAATTTCTAGTTTTTAGCAGGCAGTTGAAAAACAAACAAACAAAGAAAGAAAGGCAGTGCCTACTCTTCTGTCTCAGGCTATTGACATAAGTTTGTACCTTTCTGCTTCTAATCTTACTATGTAGCAATAGTATAGAAGCAATATGTATTCAAATGTAGAACACTGGTTTCTGTTCTGGATAGGATGTAAAGCCACATAACTTTGAAATATAATAAATAATCATTCAAAGTCAAACTATTTCAGACAACTGCAACTAAAAAGTGAGTAACTGTCTCTCTAGGAGTTGGAGATAGTAACTTGCTGTGCATTAAGAATCATCTTAAGATAACTGAAATGAAATAAATATGTAGACCAGTTTTTAAGGCAATATGCAGCATTCATCTCTTTCTTCCTTCCTATACTTCAATGTCTTTCCCCTTCCCTCTTTCCTCTTTCAGACCAGGGCTCTGAAAAGTTGTGTTTCTATAGTAATCTGAAGAACTAAGTGCTCAGAAGGGCAACATCTTTCTAAATCTTAAATAGCTTGTTCATCAGCAAGACACTGTGCCCATGTGTTCAGACACAGTCCTAGTGTAGCTTTTCCTGCTGTTTCTCTGGTAATGACAGCTCAAGCTTGCAGGCCTCGACACTTTGAGGAGCATTATCCCCACGTTGCTTAGAAATATTTGCAAACGTGCAAAATTACTTTCATACTTGCCCCCACAAAGAGAAGGAAGTAATTTAGGAAAAAATGATGCAGATTAGAAAGAAAAGGCTCAGCTCCCACGTCATCAGCTATGTGGTACTGAAGGTGAGGGGGGATTGTTTCTGCAGAGTGCAGAGGTCACCTGCCATTTGCTTCAATATTTGCGGGTATTTTTGTAGGATTTGGGGAGGGCAGTGGAGGTCCCTTTGATAAAAGGGTATTTCACACATGGCAAAGTCTGAACAACTGCTCTGAGCACATCATTCCGAGCTTTCCATGGGGTCTCAGCCTCTGCTGCACTTGGCTGAATGCATTCAATTTGGGCTGATTTCAGCAGTTAAATGTCACAGGCCTGTGTCATTGCTCATAAACATTGGCTACCATGGACACAGATGAAGGAGCTGTGCCAAAACCAGGCAGCACACTGTAAAAGCTGAATAAATTACTGATAGAGATAGGGAAGACAGGAGAGTAATTTTGACCTTTCCCTTTTAAATGTGTCTTTCAGAGCTACCTTTTGATAACTTTTGATATCATTAAAGTGTCAGAAGAGTAACAAAACAAAAAAAGCGGAGGAAAGACAGAAAGTTAGAACAAGCTGAGATATCCTGAGGTGTTTTGGGATAATGATGAATGAATACCCCCACAGTACTTAAGCTGTTGCAGTTTTAGATGTCGGATCAGTACCAAACACAAGAAATGGATGTGACATGCAGGGAGCATAAGTGCCTCACACAGATGGGAGGAGGGACCATGAGTCTGAAATGACTGGATGGACTGGCTCCTTCCCATGCCCCCCAGTTTGTAGGTAACCTGGTTGCACTTCCAAGAGGCCAGCAGCACTTTTCAAGGCTGTTTCTGGTTCCCAGAATCGCAGCTCCAGGTTGGCAGGCCTTTCTCTGTCAGAGTTTTTTTAGCAGACAATTTCTTCTGTTTAACAGTTTTCCCTTTCTAAGCAGGCTGCCTTGCTGGCTGCTCACATCAAGGTTGGTTTCTCGTCTTTTTCTCCACTGCAGTTGTCTGCCAGGTTTGAATCTCTGTCTGTTTGGTTTATGGCTTCCCCCTTTTCCTTTTCCGATCAGATAATCTTACCAAAATTAACCTTTTTGTATCCATATATCCTTATCAATCAATGTGTCTGACTCCTATCACTGCCTCATGTATTGGTTGTTTTTTAGGTTCGGGTCTTTGGGCCCTCTTGCTTGTGATTTTCTCCTTTTCTTATTATCCTCTTTTGCGTTAGGAAGGTCCTTCACCAGACACCCTTCAGGAAGCAGATGCTCTCTCGTTCTGCATACCTTTACAATAATAATTATGATCTTGCTGAGCAGTGAGGAACATGCTACCAGAGAGCAAAGGGAAGGGGTGTAACATCTGACATATCCTATACTAGTAGGAGGACTTTGATCCTGTCACAAAATTTCACCAGAAGCCAGCACAGAGATTTTAAAATTGGAATATTATGTTGAAACAACTGAGTGCCCAAAAGACTGTGAGCTGCTGCATCCTGTATCAGCTGCATTCGAGAGATAACACAGTTGGTAACTCCTGCAAACAAAGAATTGCAATAATCCATCCCTGAGAAATCAAGCCAATTCAAAATCCTCTCCTCTTAGGAAGGGACACGGCCTGCTGTTATTTCAGAGGCAGCACAAAGAGAGCCTGGTAATACAATGCACACATATCTGCTGATCAGTCTGACAATGCTGAAGCTTAACTCTGGGAGATGGATTTAAAAGTGCAAGATGAGGTGAATCCCAGGATGGCAGTCACATTCAGCAAATGTCTCCTGCATGAACCTTAGTCAACTCCAGAGTGATTGCGGTGTCCAGGGACTAACTCCTCTTATGTCTCCTTACAGCTTGGCCTAATACAGTTGCTGATGTCTTCTTTACCCTGTCCTGGGTTTGTGTCCCTGCTCTTTGTTTCTTTTCTCTCTTTGATATTTTTTAACACAGAAAGCTCAAACATGCCATACACAGCTACCAGAACCCATGTCAGACAAGATACCCCATTAAAGGTAAATCTAAATAGAAACTGTTAAAGCCTCTGCAGCTGTAATCATCAGACAAAACAGGTTTAACTGATAGTACTGATGATGCCAATATAGCCAAAAAGTAAAAACTCAAACTCACCATTATTTTCCTCCATTTACCTGTCAGCAGTTACAATAGTGAACATGGAGTGGGACAGGGCAACGGTGAAGGAGAGTTTAAAATACCTTCTTCTCTTGCATAAAAAATAGAGCCAGATCTGCCCAGCACTGTCTGTACTCCCACCTGCCACAAGTGCCTGTGTCCACCCCCACCACGAGCAACACAGCTCTCCACACTTCCTTTTTTGGAAAATCCTGCCTCTGGGAGGTAAGACAGTGTTAATTTGGTCTGTAGAAAGCGTGAACCATTGCAGTTATGAGAGCAGTGTACAGCAAGGGCAAAGAGGCACATGCTACCTTTGCAGTAATCAACATTTCAAATCTATCACATGCCTCAAATTAATTTCCAGCTGAAAAGCAATCATTTTTCAAGCACTTAATACAAACCATATGCAAAAATTAGACATAGTTCTGACTGAGGATGATTTTTCTGATCAAATGGTTATTTGTGACAGTTTCAAATTTGATGAAATAAATTCATTTCAGTAAACTCCAATTTTTTTGTTGACAAAACTGAAGAGCATTCCCTTGGCAATTCTCCTACCAGAGAGATCCCACCTAACCCTGTATTTGAATATCATCTCCTTGGCACAGTCAGACCTAGGGAATGCCTCTGCTGCAGTTACTGGGGAGATTATATGGCACATAAATGTTCACATTAACTCTGAGCTAGCAGGGATAAAGGGGACTGTGCAGTTGATGGCACACCCATTAATAGAGCACAGTCAGGTAAGGTATCACACAACGCAGCTTAACTGTGCAGTTCAACTTCTCCTTCCCTCTCCCCTCAACCAAATCAAGCTTGATCCAGTCTTGCAGCCAGCTCTCAGTCCTGTGACAGCCACAGAGGGCTCAGAGAGAACTAATTTAGACTCATCATTAGAAAATACTTAAAGAGCTCATTCCTAAGTCAGTACTGTTAGAGATAAGGCACAGAACTATTCATTTGGAGTTGCCCTAAAACCATGTGATCATTCCCTGAGAAGAGCCCTAATCTCAGCAAATTATCACGAGGCAGTGCAAGCACATGCACACTGGCACATTAGGTATGTTATTGACTGACTACATGTGGGAGCCCCGAATCTTTGTTAGCAAAGCCTAGCCATGATAACATATGGAACTCGTGTGCTCAGAGCTCTTGCAGGTGGATCTATCAAAGAACCAGCCCAAGATCTCAAGCCATCATCTGAAATCTCCTGAACACATCTCCTGGGTGCTTACATGGGCTTTGTCAGTGCTCTGATTAGACTTGAGCTCTCATACCTTCTCATTGATCATCTGGAAAAAGGGGAACACAGTTTGGGAATGGGATGCTGCTGCTTTCACCCTGAGATGCACCCTTGATCCTCTCTATGAGACTGGGGGAAACAGTGTCCCATGGGAGCAGGCCAACAGAGGAGAGAAAATGATCCTCCCTTACCTGCTGAAGGCTCACCTTCATGAGAGTTGTTTAGTGAAGTGTCAGTCACCTTCCCCAGCTGAGGCAGCACCTGCAATACAACAGTCACACACAGAGTGCACCCCTTGATTCGGGCACATGCCCCAGTGCCACACTCTTCAGAGGCAATCCAAAGTGATTTAGTATTTTGGAGGCTGTTTGTGGTGTTACAGGAGGAATTCACATAGTTCCTCCAAAAGGAATAATCCCAAAATAGATTTGCTTAGTGCTAATGAGAAGGTACTGGTATTCAATTGCATGTGGTTTCCATGTATTGAAAAAGGACATGCAGTCTCATTAATCTGCTTTAACTGTGAGCTATTTTTCTTTCACTTTTAATATTCTCAAGCCTAGGAGTGCCAAGGGGAATACGGGACAGGCTGACTACAGAGGAGTTATCTCCTCTGAAATCATCCTCACGTGTCTGTCAGGAATTCTTGAAACAACTGCAATAAATCCTGAATTTTTAATATGGTTCACAAGTTCAGAGACAAAAAATCAGCACTCAGACAGCCGGGACTGTGGTAGTTATCTAAGATGTCAGGATACACATGTTTTTGTAAAAGGAAATCAAAGGAAACTATTGAAAAAAGCGTGATCAAATATGGTCAGAAGACAAAGAATGACTGCTGGAAAGCAGAGAAAGATGGGTCAGTAGAAACGAGTATGAAGGGTCAGGAGAGAAAAATGAGCTTCCTGCCTGATTCCTTATTGTTCTACATGGCAGCCAAAGAGATGGGTCTCTATTTGCCAACACCATACAAGTAAAGTAACAGTTCACAAACAGTGGAACACAAGCTGTTGTATTAACTCAAAAATCCAGATAGACAAATCCTTGGTTTTCAACACAGCAAATAAGACAGATTTCCTTGGATGGTCTTGCTGTCCGTAGATCACTGACTGGGAACTGATGGTATGGACTGAAATCCCCTCATAGTCCCCTCAGCCTCAGGAGTGAAGCACACAAGGTATATGAGGCTGCTGCACTGCATGTGTTTCTCAGCTGCAGTTGTGGCCCCACTGAAGTTGAAGTGTTGAACCCCACATGTAACATCAACGTGGTAAAATAGATGCAAGGAAACACAGTCAGGATTTACAGGAATACCCTGTACTGTTTGAGGAAAACAGATATGCATATGGACATTGACGTGCGTGCACACTGAGAGATGCAGCTGGGTCAGAAATTACTTCCAGAGCTAAGGTAGGGTCAAGACTGGAGTGTGAGGAATGAAAAGGAAGCACGAAGGTCAGCTGGAGCTGAGGAAAAGAACAGAAAGAAAACATAATTCAAAAACTGCAATGGACCTTGTATTGTCCTACCACAATGGACAAGATAATGAGGTCTACCTTCACCAAGTCCAAGATAGCCCAGTCCTGCAGGCAGGAGGCCAAACTGCTGTGAAGGGAAGATGATTTGAAAGTCAAGGAAAGACAAGAGACAGTGTGCATTGCAAGCAAGTGAAATAGAGGTTCCCTACTGTCAACAGTAAAAAACTATGATGAAAATAGGGAAGTCTCAATGGGATTCATGTGTCCACTTGCTGCAAATTGTCTACGGTCCCACTAGAGTCAATGATGGTCTAGTCGGTGTAGTCAGTGGCAACTAATTAATGCAGGGGGCTAATTATTCTGATAAGAAGTAAGCTTTTACTTTAGGATGAAACGAATCATGATATTGACTTTATTGACTACATTTCTTTTGACTGTAGGGTCATTTGCCAATATGTTCATGCTGTACATGTACAACTATGTGAGTCCAGCTGACTATACCTAAAGCAAAGAACAACAAGGAAAAGTCAGTGAAAACAGCAAATTCTGGCCATTACATACAACAGCGTTCCAGGAAATAAACATGATTTCCTGGACCAGTAAAAGGCAAGCACACTCCTTTGGGTTTCAAGGAAAGGTTTTCTGGGGTCTTTCTGAAGGCAAGACCATCAGTCAGTTGGTAAAAAGGCCTTTTGAGAGAGTGTCTCCATGAGCGGCTGACAGTTCAATTTCCAACACACAGTGCTTGCTCACATAGCCAGTGTGTACAGACAGGCAGGGTTTTCTGTTGCTCTTGGAGGCCTCTAATGGGGTTTTGTTAAGCTGGTCTTGAGATGTTCTGCTTGCGAGCAGGAACTCAGACCTAACTTCTGCTGTGTTCTGAGCTGACCAGTACAGTCCTTTCTTGATGCATTGCCTGGCTGTTCTGCCTGGGTATGGTAACCTCTCTTCTTAGCCAACTCCATGACTATACAACTTTGCAAACTTCTTAATATTGACCAAAACTCTGGCCTTACAGCTTCAGGGATCTCTTGTACATGCAACACTTATTACTACACTAAAGCATTTCTCAGAAACCTCTCCAGAGAGGTTGTCTTACCATGGAGCAGCTTGACATTAGGGAATAGAGAGATATACAAGACCATAAGACCTGCTAAGATATTTTCAAAACACGGGGGGAAGAACAGCTTCAGGCATTCAAATATTGGTAATATACATGCTATCTAGAGGTCCAAGATCTGACGTTAGGCCACTTCCTTCCTTACATCAGGGTACTTCTGCTAGTGAAGCTGGCTTTCTTCAGCACTGGGCTAGAAGGAGAGCTAACAGTTTAGTGTTTTCAGGATGGTGAGGAAGCCTGGGTTTTTGTTAGGCAATGAGTCCCAGGTAGCACCACTGAGATATCTGATTATCCCAAATACACACAAATGCCAGACAGTGACCGCAGGAACTCAGACAGCCCAGCCCATGAGAATCAGCCCCTCCTAAGGCCATCATAAGAGAATGATTAAGCAATTGCCCCTATTCCAGAACCCACTAAGGCTTTCAACAGAAGAATGTTGCTCTGTAGTGCTCTGCAAACAAAGGAGGACTGTTACCAAAAGGACTTATTACGGAATGTTGGAGTGCACTAGATCTGATGGTCCTTAACGAACACCTACAATGCAAATGCATCTCCATAAGACCCTCATTGTAGAGAGGATGTCCTTGCAGGGCACAATTGCATCTTTGGCTGCTAAAGGGAGCCCTTTGATTAGGAATTGGCTAGGTCAGCCTGAAAGTAATATAGAAGAGCTTGGCAAGTAAAAACCTACATAAAACCCCTGCATTTCGAGATAGGAAAGATGGAAAGCCTGAGTAGGAGTATGTCCAGAAAGGATAGGAGAGCTTGGGTTTTTTGTGTGTGCATACAGACTTGACCTTGTATTCAGACTTTGTATATTGGGACCTTGATGTGATGTAGCAGATTCGTTAGCTGTTTTCACCTCAAATGTGGGTCATATGAAGAGGCAAAGAGGAAAAAAGAAGAAGAACTGCCCCACTAAGCGTGGGGTAGAAGACAGCAATCAGGTCTGCCCAGCAGTTTTCTCTGGGTGGGATCTGCACTGCTGTGCAGTGTGAAAGCTGTCACAGGAAGGTCTCTCCACCATGTACAGACACACTGCCAGCAACTGCCCCCCTGCACAGCTCATTCATCTGCACAAAAATCAATGCTCACACTTTGCCTACAGATAGCTCACATCCATCACAGCACTGACAGTACCTGTGGCATCAACAGCCCACAAAAACAGAGGCAACTAGATGGCACAGGTTGTTGCACAAAATAAAACAAAAATGGTGGAAAACATGGAATTAGTTGGTAGGAGCTAATATAGAGATGGGTTGAGTGCTACTTTGATTTTCTATTCTTTACATAAGCAGAAATACATGAAAACGTATGCACATACAAAATATACTGTGCAGACATTGAATTGTTACACCAAACTTGTTCAATGGTGCAGATAGTGCACAACCCCAGAAGAATGACAGTCAAGGATAATTATTTATGATATTCTAAGAACAACACAATGATTCTTGTAATTCCTGTTGCATGCCATGGATTTTAGTGGGAGTTGGAACCAGTTTAGCTGTAAAACAATAATTGCAAACCCTCTCACAAGCATTTACTGTGTATTGGAGGAAAAGTCCCTTGTGTGCCTCAAATGCCCACTTTCTGTGAGAGGACCTGGCAGTGAGAGCTGCTAAGGAAGCTGTTTGTTGCTCACAGCCAGAAGGATGGCTCAGGGGTGGCTTCTACATATTGCTCATCCAGGATTTCAAGGTGGTTGGTTGCCTGAAATGCTGAGTACCTATAAACTGGTAGGCTGCTGGTAAACTGGCAGACTTCTGGTGAAAACAGGAGTTTGATACCAAAGTGAAAGATGAGGCCAGTGTGTGTAATGACAGGAATTTCTACAGCAGCAAAAGGTTAGTTTATCTTTCTGCATAATTTCAAGAGACTGGGAAATTCTGGTTGCTTCACATAGAGTATGTATGTCCAAATTATAATTAAAAAGCCAACCAAACA